ACACACACGCGAACTCATGCTGATAACCAACGAGCAAACGCCCTCCCTTGGCAGAACTCGCCGTCGCCAACTCCAGAGTGATAAGCCCTCAGCCGCGGGCGCCCCAGGACATGTCGCCTGCCGCCGCTGCCCGGCCTCGCGCATGTCTGTGTGGGCACCTCACCGCAGGAACGCCGCAGCGGGAAAGGACGAGGATCCCTCCCGCCATTTTTTGCTATACAGCCTCGCCTCACGGTGATCGCTTTCGCTTGTCCGCCTGAACCAAACACCGAGCGATCACCCTTCTTTACGGACGAAAAACGCATCAGCATGTTTGACACACATTCCCGAGATCTGCACTGTCCGCGCTTAACGCATGCTGTGCATGAGTTACCTCCCAACCACGAAAGCCATTATGGCGTGGATGTCAGGAAGTTCAGCTGCCTGTATAGCTGTTGCTGACAGAGCAACTGTAGGCACTATGATATAATTCAGGTTGGGCTGAGTGTGTGAATGAAGATAACAAGAAGAATAGCACGGAGGAAGATCGAAAGTCCGTTTGGGGAAAGGAAAAGGCAGAGGAAAGTGTAGCGCGGGGAGCGGTGGCATGAGGGATGGTAGCGTGATGGAGGAACGTAACATTAGGGAGGAACGCCGACAGGTCAACTCCATCTCGACTCACGCACACCCCCACGGCCGCCTCTCCTCTCCCTCCCCCCTCACACCTCATGCGCCATCCGACACGCCTCATTAGCATGTTCATGGTTCACCTGGAACGCCTACGGTTCCCAGGGGGGCAGTTTCGGCACATTCCCGAGCTGCGTCCTTGGCTTGCAGTAGTTAGCCGGGAGGAATATGCGCGCCGGGGCCCTTAGGCAGATCGGCTTCGGGCGGAGGGCCTCGTCATGATTCCTGCGCCGCGCCGTTCCGGAGACATTCCTGCGGTGGAAGGAATGTCTCGGGCGAGTAATTAGCACCACGTGCAGCACGCCCTTGCGGTGAGTTACCGCTTGGACACGTTCAGCAACCCGCAGGCTCGGCTCACGGTCACCAGGCCAAGCGACGGACGCGGCGAGGGAGCACGTGATGTGGACATGTCGGGAATGGCCGACGCGCTGAGCACCCGACGAAGGGATTCCGAGCTGCTCGTTGGCGATGCGACGAAAATATCTGGGGCTGTGATGCTGATGGAATGCAATTGATTTACAGTTCAACGAGGGAAGCTTGTCATTAGTTAACGTTTTATGCCAGAACACTTTTTGAATACTGTAATGAAGAAGCTAATTTGTCAGAATATGAGGTCTCTAACAGAACTTGGCTTGAAGAGTGATAACAGACAGACTCCTGACTACGTTTCCCAACTGCTCCCCTTTGCCACCTGTGACGTTCCTACATCATAAAGTCTTTCGCACACGAACGGTAGATGAACAATCTTGTCAGTGTTTTTTCACTCCCTGGTAAATATCAGATTCATCGTCATTTACATTTCAGGTGTTTTTAATCATGGGCGCTTCATACGTTAAGAAGTTTGAAATTGACGCTCGCAAAGAGAATTCCGAGAGCACACGAAAGATAATTTTATCAGCGGTCATTTCCTCAACGCTAGTCATAGGAAAAGGACCCTTAAGGTCCCTTCAACTCGCTTGACCCGCTAACGTTTTATCTGTGGATGCTGTCACTGGAAAACCGGCCTTATGGCAGATAGGACGCGTGTTACAGCCATAGGAGAACGCCAAAGATTTTTTTCCGGGCATGTCGTTACTACTGCCTGCTTTTATTGAGTAACCATCCATCGGGAAATCAGTAACGTCGGTTTAGGTCCCGTCTGCTCGGCGGCCTCTGAGATGACGTTGGGTGGAAAGCGATCGTTAATTAGATCATGCTGGTGGGACTTGCTAGAATGCGGGCGAGCATAAAGGCCTCTCTCGCCCCTCCTCCGATTTCCTTCTCACGCTCACACGCTCATGCCTACGCACATACGCTCACGAACACCTATAACTACACTCAAACACACACACGCAACGCACACGCACGAGGCCCTTTGTGTCCCGGATCTCAAGCTTTTCAAAATTCTCCAGAACCTTCTATCCTGTAGACATGTTATATTGCGATACCATATTTACTCCTCTGTGGATTTTGCATTGTTGTTGTATGTCGTTTACTCATTTATTTAGTTATCTTAAAGGCTGCATTTACATCCAACCGTATTTATTCAACTTCTATTTAACTGCTCTACACCGGAGGCCTACGAATAGACACGTACTGCTTTGGCTGTAGAGACATCACCATACCCATTTCCAAATAGCGTTCCGAATGCCTCAGTCCAGTACCTCCAGGTGACGATGTAAGGCCTTCGTGCAGACATACCGTGGCGTGGAGCGGTAACCCGATAAGACCCGGTGGCGTGCTCGAGATAGCTATCATGAGGACGCGCTGTTACTTGTGTCTTACGCGCGTGGTGTATTCTCCCCTTTTCCTTCCCCTCGTCTCCCATTGTTGTTGGTGTGTACCTTCGATCCGG